AGACTTGTTGCAACACCACATCCAAACTTAGGCACATGCTAGTCACTCCCAGAAAAATGTAGTTGATCAGGCTACATCCCCCGAAATGTGATTATATGTCTCTAAGCCCAATTGTGCTGTCCAACAATCTTAATACTTTTGTTCTGCTCTAGTGCGATATTGACTTCTGTATTTTATAGTGGTGTGTGTATACATATACTTAGTTAAATCTTTTAAATACTTAACAGTATATATTCTTGGTCAGAGTGTTTTTGTCCCGAAGTGTTTATAGTTCGTATATCTTTTATAGGTTGATATACTTGATTCACTATAAACAATGCTCTGATACCAATCTGTCACACCCCAAAACCGATAACGGCGGAATACATTTCGGGGTGGAGGACGTCATGTACAGTATCATCACAATTGCATAATAGTAAAAACAAGAAACATACAACCATTTCATTACATAGTGAATTTAATTACAAGTGTGTTCTGTAAAGTTTCAATAGACACCAAAAGTAATACAAAAATAAGAGATGGATCTTGTATGCTCCATCTTCTCCCAAAATGCTGCATCTGTACCTGTCAATCGTTGACCTAAGGATACAAGTTATTTGAAAACGAGTATCAACATAAAGCTGGTGAGTTCATAAGAGTTTAGTGTGAATTTTTGTATAAAATGCATTAGAACATATAGTATGTAAGCTGCGATTTACAGTTTGAAAGTAGTAGAAAAGTCCTAGAAAATCCTATATTTTCCAGAAAATACATCGTGAGTGAAAATCTTCAAGTTGCAAGTAAGTTTCATTGATGAAAACCGTTTATTGTAAGAGCGTTTTAGTAATTTACTTCGGGATATTAACTCATACTTTACTTTAGTATTTTAGAGTGGATATAGTGTGTTTCCTTGTATACGACTGATAGTGAGAGTAATAGAGAACCCCATGACTACCCCAGTCATGCATAGTGTAGTGAAGTAGTGTCATCCCTGGGCTTGCACGACTCGGACTGAAGTTAATAGTCGGGATGTAATAGTGTCTGCCCCGTATAGATCTATACATGTAGCGTCGTCTTCCTGTCGGAAAACTCTGGGCATAGTGTGTACCGAACAGTGTATCTTGTAGTGAGTTAGTGTGTATCTTCCGAATTAGTGATTTATCTTGTATTATAGTGTAGTAGTCTTTCATCTAGTTAGTAGTGTGTTCTCCTATTCGTATATTGACCTGTAATAGTGTGTATTATAGTGTGTAAAGTAGTAGCAGTAGCAAGTAGTAGTAGCCTTAACTATACCTATTATAGTTAGCTGTATGGTTCTTGTCAAGTTAATGGTTTAGGCATCAAATGGAATGAAAATATTCGTATCCAACACTAATATAAATGATATATAACTAATAAATCAACGACAGTCGGACGGATAACAACTACCCTAAGCCCACTATCAAACAAGAACAGGAATTAAGGCGAGCCATCCGTCCTAAGTCCTTCAAGTCATACTTATATAAATATATTAGTATGGTTACATTTTATAAAAAATCTATTTAATAAAAATCTTTTCCAAAGGGAACATTTATAAAATTGTTTGTTTATCCAAAATAGTTTTGAAAACGCAAAATTCCTTTATAAGTCATAATGGTAAATCACATGTGATTTGAACTAAGGGTGGTGAATCACATGTGATTAATTTCCATAGACATGTATATTTGACTTGTATCCACCCACCCTAAAACATATAAAAACATTTGAAAGGTTCATTAAAGGGGTATGAACTCACCTGAAATCAAGTAAATCGGGTAAATCAGGTGAAAGTGTCAGTTGAGCGTTTGGTGCCAAATAAGGACTTGTACACCTTTTAAGACCCTATTAACATATAGAATTTGTGTTTTACAAGAAATTAGCCATTTTATGCTTTTTATTAAAACATTAAGACATACTAGCATTGATTCGAGGTCTTAGGGCTTAGAAGTGGTTCTCGGGGATTATACAAGGCCAAAAAGGGGTTACGGGGGAGTCCGAGAGTTTACTCCCTTGGAGTTTACGGCCCAGAGGGAAATCCTTGGGAGTTTACGGCCGTAAGCCCCTAGGCTTGGCCGTGAACTCTTGTTCACCCCCAAAAATGACTGCTAAAGCCCTAAATCAATCCCATATATTTTCTAGTGAATGTCTAGGACCAAATTTAGGAGTTTAAACCTTCATTTAGTGTCGTTTGCAGGAGTTTATGGTCCTATCTTATGCGTGGGCCGTAAACTCTATATTACCCCTCAAAATGTGTTGTTTAATGGCCCTAAACATTCCCTAAATTCATATCTAAATTCTAACATGCCTTGGATGAGTTTTTGGGGCCATTTTACATGAAAAAGGGGTGTTTACGGCCTAAGAATGTGCTTGGGCCGTAAACTCTTCTTAATGCCCTAAAACTTATGGTTTTAATGTTAAAACACTCCTAGGTAAAACCCCTAACTAGTATCCAAGCTTTTAAGAAGGAAATTTGGGACTTTTTGGCACTATTTGGGTGTTTATGGCCTAAGGAGCTTCTTAGGCCGTAAACTCCTTTTCCATGTCTCAAACATGTGATTTTTGAGTTATAAAGACAATATTGTATGTTTAGAACAAGTTAGGGTTGAAGATCTTACGTTTAAGAGCCGGAAATCGCGGTTTTGGAGTCGAAATCGGGTCTAGAGAGAGAAAGTAGTGAGAGAGTGGGTTTTTGGGTGGTAAAAATGTACAAAGTGATATACATCTCCTTTATATATGCCTCGTGTGTTGCACCCGATACACGACTACCCGATGTTGAAGTTTAACGGAGTTAAATTTTTTTTTACCCGAGTGAAGTGGTTGAAAAGTAATATAACTTTATTTTGTTTAACGAGATTAACATTAACAAGTTATATTTACTCATACTAAATGACATGAAATATATATATAAATAGATCTTTATTTATTGACGACTCTAAATATTACGGAATCTTTTATAAAGCGACGAATTCCGTTAGTGAAAACGGGATTTTATAACGGATAAATGTTGGGTTGCTACATAATAACATCATATATACCAATCATGTTTTCCCAATCCAGGTTATGTGATTCACTCTAATCATGAGCTACCTTACTCTACTCAAATTGAGTTTAGAGTTTTTTGCATGGTCCTTCTTTTCTTCAATGCAGAGGTACCTTCGCTTCTTATACGATTTGTATCATCTTTCTCCATTATAATTTGTTTCATCAATATAACCCCTAAGACTTTCAATCTTAACCACTGAAGTTTATGGTTATACAACATCTGTGTTCATGATCTTAGTCTCATGCTACTATGTACTAAGTGAAACCCAAAGCTCAACACCTCTAATGAATTGACAGTGAATCTCATGATTCAAGATCTTACTTGTTACACTATGAAATCTCCTTTTTCTTTTGAGTGATCTTTATGAGTTTGCCTTTCACCAATGCTTCTCTAACCCTAAAAGATCCTTTTTTTTTTGAGATTTCCTCTTTTCCTTGTCATTATAAATTTTATCCTACCTACTTGTTCAACAGATCGTAATGATCTCACAAGTACTTCATTCAAATTCGGTCTTATGTTAAGTATCAAAATTATGAATTGAAGCAAAAGCCACCCCCTTTAATCTTTAAAAGAAGCCTTTCAAAAATTCTCAAAAAGTTATTGATCGTTACTCCATGGGAAACCAAGCAAGCACTTTAATGTCTCTCTTGACATTAAAGGAAGTGATTTCTGCGTAGAATCAATTGTTTTATGTTAGATTTTGACATCACATATAATCCCTAAAACATCGTTTTATTTCCTGATCTTTTACACCCTACGCATGAAAATTTTAATTTTCCAAATTCTAGTTCTGATTTCGATTGATCATCAAAGCACTATAGGTACAGAGATTCAAGTGTCATACGAAATGATTGGGTTAAAGTTGATGCTGAATCAGCAGCTATCAAAACGCTTGGAGATTTGAAAAAGTGGATTTTATGAAACGACATGAAAAAGGGAACGTTTCTTTCTCTCTCCTGCATCATCCTCGGCATGCCAACTGTAGACCCATCAACTTAGGCGCTACTTATGAGACATTCCAAGATTTCAGCCAAAATTTTCTCTCTCCTCAGTGTACCTATAAAAGGAATTGGAACGACACACTCTTATCCATTATCAATTCCAAAATCCTCTCAAAGAAACCCGATGATTTTCTACAACTGTTCACTAAGTTCTTCAAGCTACTTCAATGGCAGACTCATCCTCAGTTCATGATACCTCAATTCGTCAACATCTTCTCACCATCAAACCTCAATAGAATCTAATCATCGATCTTACGCCGTTCATCTATGAGCCATATATGTTGTACGTGGTTAAGTGTCTCAAATACACACCCCTCATCGAAGAACTAACTAAAGTTGAAGTGGTTCCCATGTTGTGCTTGTCTCTTATCTACGCTTTTGCCTTTTATGATAAAATCAGTGAACACATTCACTTTGAACTTCACAATGAGAAGACCTCCATCTCCAAGAATCGATTATGTGCCCTAATCGGTCTTGCTCAAGATTCCTCTTTGGTAAATCCCGACTCCGTTACTATTGGTCAATTATTTTCAATGTTCTATCAGATGGGGTATACTAAAACCCAAACCACCATTACGAATTTCAAGAAGTCCTGGCTTCCTCCCTAATGGAATGGTCTTTTTACGTTATTATTCAAGGGACTGTCTGAGCGAAGCGCTGGCTCCGATGGTGCAAGTAATTCCTTCATGACAGTACTATACGGGTTGTACCACGACATTAACCTTGATTATAGGACCATCATATGGCAGCAGTTGGTTCAAAGCCTGGTTTCTTCATCCAGATATTCTGAGATATTCTGCGGGTGTTTCTGGTCTATTATCACCCAATGGGCAATGGACCGCCTTCGTGTTCCAATAATGGTGGATTCCCTGCTCTCATCCATTGCTACCTTTCATATGACGAAGATCATTGTCACTGATCCATCGAAGTTTTCATTTATTGGCTCTATTCCTAAATCGATGCTCAGTCGTATTTCTGCATCGAGTAATATTCTACAAGAATACAGGAAGCGTCCATCGGCTGGTCCAAGAGAGCTTACGCAAGCAATGGTTCGGTCCATTGAGGAAGCTGACAAGCCAGCCAAGAGGGGCAAAAAGCCCGAGACACAGAGGGGAGAACAGGTCTCCAAAAAAACCAAGGGGCAAACCCCCAAGAAGCGAAAGACTAATAAACCTGTCCCTTCTCAGGTTCAACCGAAAAAGCAAAAGAAGCCGGCTCGGAGGCTTATTCTGCAATCTTCAAGCGATCCAGAATATGTCCCTCCTAAGCACAAAAGCGCTTCTCCATCGGAATCTGAGAGCGAAAGCTCAGAAGAAGAGGCTTCAGGCAGAGGTGATACTCCACCTCACTCTCCTACCCCAAACATTCCAGTTCGCTCCAATCCCCCTTCACCTATCCCTATAACAATCCCAGTATTCACCTCTCAACCATCCACTACAATTCCCATTCCCACTCCCATATTCACAGATACTACCACTACCACTCCAACTCGCTCTACTGTTCCTGACCCACCTACAATCAAACCTCCAGTCACAACCAAAACACATGTTCCAGCCGAACCTCCACCTTCTTCCAAACCTTTATCTCCTACGCAATCTACTGAAACCACTCCTATACTGGGTGGTGAGGATTTGGAGTTTCATTCCACATACTTCAGTCCTTACAGAGTGCAGAGTGATGACGATGACGATAAGCCAGTTACCAAATGTCATTTAAAGGTTGTCAACGAAAAGCTTGACAACCTGCTTTCCTCATCTTCCTCTACATGTGGTGCCTATTCTGAAGCTGCATTGTAGGCTTTATTCTCCTCAGTTGTCACCGAACACAGCACTTCCTTGTCTGATGCAGCTAAGGCAATTGCAACATCCACTTCTCAATGCCAACAGGCCTCCACTGCTGTTGACGCTTCCACTAAAGAATGCAAGGAAGCGACCGCAAAAGTCGATAAATTAGTCTCCGAAGCTCACATATTTTTAGACTCCTTGTAGGGTGTTGCTGCCAAAAATGCTAAACTGGTCAACGCTTCGGTCAAGAACCTTCAGAAGTCCATTCAAGCTGAGCGATCGAACTTTGAAGCAGCACGCCTGGCCATTCAACAAGCCAACAAGAAACTCCATGATAATGTCAACGATCGCTTAACTTAACTAGAAGCAGAGTTAGCTGTGGAGAATAGAATTATGGATGAGCTTGATCGACGTACCTATCAGCTCAAATTGCAAACTCAGAAGCTGCGTTCTACTGAGGCTGCCCTTAATGACCTCAAGTCAGAATGGGAAGTTATCAGAATTTCTGCTGGAGACGTTCACTCAATCCTTCTTCATCTTGTTGAGGCTCATGATCCGGTCATTACTATCACAGTGAGATGCCATTTGGTGGAAAAACTCAAACCGGTGTTGGATTTTCTTAGCCGTATTAAAGGTGGTCCGGTTACCGGGGTCCAACTGAAACAAGAGGGATAGAAAGTTTCATTGCAACCTCCTCCTTCCGGATCAAAGCCATCAGCTGGACTGTCTGCTGGACCGAAGGTTAATGTAGTTTCGGTCAGCAACAAAGACAAAAAGAAGATGAAAATTGGTGATGATGATACAGATAATGAAGATGATGTATATGCTGAAAATCCGCCAAATCCCTTCCAAAAAGTTAAATCTTCAGTAAAAGAACTGGAAGAAAACATAAAGAAGCAGCAAGCTGAGCTGGAAATGAAGCGAAAGGAGACTGAGCTCCTTGAAAAGAAAAAGTCCCTGTTTCCCATGTGGACAAAAGAATCGCTTCAGAGATGTGTAATTGACGAGCCAACTGTTCTCTGGCTCGAACCAATAATGTCCTTTGGTCTTGAAAACTCCAAGGATGCACAGTTCGACATGCCAATCACCCGAAAGGCATTCATCTTCCACTGCTTTAACTCGACTGTTGCTATTCCTTCTCCAGACCCGAAGGTAGATAGGGATCTTCTGGAGTTTTACTTGGAGTTTGCTCAACCCTAATACCAGACCTGGAGCTCTAAGAAGATAACCACATTCAAGGTGATGAAGCCCTATTCAGCATGGGAATTTATTAATGTCAAATTCAGGGTGACTCGAGGAACCGAAGGCTCAGTCTACCATTTTTCCCTTGCTGATCTACCAAATCTCAACCCCCATGACTCGATACTCCTCAACAACATTCTTCTGCTAAATCCTCAGGACTATCGGCCAACAATCGATCATGTCAAGCGTATGCTTGTTTGCTACATTCATGAGGTAGCGAAGATGGACCAGGAAATTGCCTCTGCCATACATAAGCGACCAATGATCAAACCTATGGGCAAATCTAGCATTGTCAATACAATGATCTAGGGGAAGATAGATTCAACATATCACACGATCATGTTTCTCAGGGGCGAAGGTCAAAAATGTATGTTCGCTCTTGTTGATAAACACCTCTTCTCTACATCTTGTCTTGAGCATATATTGGAGATTCTACAGAGGTGTGACCAGAATAGTGCTGCTGATAAGAAGCTTTTTGTTGACATGATAAGGTGGTACATTCAATTCCAACAGACACTTCTTGCCATTATTCCTAAACTGTTTAAAGTTGTAAAGACAGTAAGGCATGCTCAGAAGAAATAATCTCTCACCTCATTTGACGCAAAGGGGGACATTGTTGAGTCTATTGGGTTGCATCATGCGCTCGGTCCATAGCCCAGGTCGAATGTCGGTATTGGGTTTTTCCAGCTGTACATAATTTTGTATTAGGGTTTAGTATATAAGCTGCATGCATGCAGACTTAGATGGAAACGTTTTGATTGTTTTTGTTTAAGATCTATCGTAAACCCTAGCTCGCCTCTACAGCGCAAGTTCTTTATCGAGCTCTGCTGAGGTGTGACTTTGTTTGAATCATAAGCATAAGTTTGATTTTGTTTTGTGTTCATACTCATATTATTCTTAAACTGTTTGATTACTTTTTTCGTGCTTGTGAAAGATCTAATCGATCTAAGAGTTTATAACACTACAATGTGGTAATTGTTATTATATGAAAATCCGACAAGCGGTAAGTATTTATCCCAGTTACCACCGAACTCCAAGACACATGCACGAAGCATATCTTCTACTGTTGGATTGTTCTCTCCGTCTGACCATTTGTCTGGGGATGATAAGTGGTGCGGAAAGTAACTCAAGATCCTAATTCACGTTGCATACTCCCCCAAAAGTGAGAAATGAAGCGAGTATCACGATCGGAAATGATCTTTAGTGGCACACCATGTCTTGCAACAATTTCATCCAAGTATACTTGTGCGTATTTCTCCAATGGAGCTATTTCACGCATGGCAAGAAAATGTGCACTCTTAGTCAGGCGGTCGACGATTACCTAAATGCTATCATGCTATCTAGCAGTCTTTGGCAATTTGGTAATAAAATCCATGGACAGCTCTTCCCACTTCCATACAGGAACACTAAGACTTTATGGGGTTCCATAAGGCTTTTGGTGCTATGTTATGACTTGTAAGCATATTAAGCATTCCTGTACATATCTTCCAATGTCTCTCTTTAATCCAGGCCACCAATAATCAGCTCTTACATCATAGTACATTTTACTTGTACCAGGATGTATTGACAGCTTAGACTTATGAGCTTCATCTAAAATCTTCTGTCATAATCCACCAATATTTGGAATCCATAGTCGATTCTTAAATACTTTTAATCCTCATGGATCATCAAGTAAAACATCAGAATAATGTACCATTCCTTCCTTCTTCACATTTTCTAGCTTTAAGGCCTCAATTTTCCACTTCTCTAGTTCATCAAGAATAGTAAACTTCAGCGTAGTGTGAGTAATCGTATAACACATACTATTACGATAAACCTTCCTGCTAAGTGCATCTGCAACCACGTTAGCCTTTTCAGAATGGTACATGATTTCGCAGTCATAGTCTTTGATCAGCTCCATGGCTCGTTGCTGTCTAATATTCAGAGTTTCCTGACTGAATATATACTTAAGACTCTTGTGCCACTGCAGGGAGTTCAAGATCATGGGTGGGATATTTCTTTTCATAATCTTTCAGTTCTCTTGAGCCATAGGCTATCACTTTACCACGCTGCATCAATACACAACCGAGTCACATTCTTGAAGCATCGCTATACACGAAGAAATCATCATCACCTTCTGGGAGTGATAAGATTGGAGCATGAGTCAAAAGATCTTTTAGACTTGAGAAAGATTTTTCTTGGGCTTCACCCCATTCGAACTTCACTTCCTTCCGTGTAAGACTCGTGAGAGGTATGGCTATACGAGAAAAGTTTTTAATGAATCTTCGGTAATATCCCGCGAGACCTAAGAAACTTCAAATTTCGGAAGCATTACGGGGCACTTCCCAATTTTGAATGGCTTTGATTTTGATAGGATATACGGATACACTGTCACTAGAAATAACATGGCCGAGAAATTGAACTTGACGAAGCCAAAATTCACATTTCGAGAATTTAGCAGAAAGTTTCTCCTTTCGAAGAAGTTCTAAGATTTCACGAATATGAATGGTATGATCGGCTTCCGAATTGGAATAGATTAGAATATCGTCAATGAATACGATGATAGACTTATCGAGCATTAGGCGGCATACTCGATTGATCATATCCATGAATACACCAGGAGCATTTATCAAACCGAATGGCATGACAAGGAATTCGAAATGCCCATAACGAGTATGGAAAGTAGTATTCGGTACATCTTGCTCTTGTACTTTCAACTGATGATAACCAGATCTCAAATCAATCTTTGAGAAATAGCTATCACCCTGAAGTTGATCGAACAAATCGTCGATGCGAAGTAGTGGGTACTTGTTCTTGATAGTCACCTTATTTAATTCACCATAATCAATGCACATTCTCATCGATCTGTCGTTCTTCTTGACAAACAATACTGGAGCACCCCAGGGAGAGGTACTCGGTCGAATAAAGCCTTTGTCAAGTAATTCCGGCAGTTGGATCATCATTTCTTTCATCTCGGCTGGCGCAAGATGATAAGGAGTCTTTGCAATCGGAGCAACACCAGGCACAAGGTCAATTCTTTATTCTACTTGTCTGTCCGGAGGAAGTACAGGCAGATCATCGGGGAAAACATCAGGATATTCGTTAACAATGGGAATATCATTTACAGTTGGATTCTCCTTTCTTGAGATGTCAACTGTATAGGCCATATAGATAGGACAACCATTCGATATAAATTTACGAGCTTTGAGGAAAGAGATTATTTTAAGATCCTTTGTTCACCGTAGACATGAATAGAATCTTCCCCTTCAATAGGAATACGTACCATCTTTTCGTAACACAAGAGTTCTGCATGGTTCTTTGACAACCAATCCATGCCGAGAATAATATCGAAGTTGGGCAAAGAGATAGGGATTAGGTTAGCAAGAAAATTATAGCCTTCAATTTCTATGACACAATCCCTATAGATTTTATCAGCAAGTAATGATATACTTCCCGCAGTATCTACATGAAATGGTTGCGCGAGTACATAGCAGGCAGTTTGAAAAGAATGCGCAAATTAATAAGATACGAAAGAATCTGATGCACCAGAATCAAATAAGATGTGAGCATGTCTAGAGTTGAGAAGAAATGTACCCATCACAACATTCGGGTCCTCACGTGCTTCCTCTATGGTAATCTGGAATGCACGACCCTTAGCTTTTGGCACCTCATCCTTTTTAGCTGGAGTATTGTTTGGTTGTTGGTTAGGGACTTGACGTCTTGCTGGTTGTTGAACAGAAGCTTGACTTCCCATCACTTGGCTGGTAAGAGTAGGGCAAAAACGCTTCTTGTGGCCAGTAATACCACATGCATAGCAAGTCACATCCTTCCTTGGGCAAGCTGGCTTTATATGACCCATTTCTCCAGACCCATAACAGACAATGGATTCCTTGTCTATTTTGCATTGACCCGGATGATTCCTTCCACAAACGCGACATGAAGGCGATTGAATAGAAAAAGATTGTGACCTGCCACGGCCACAAAAAGCACTTTAAGATTACGCTTGCTTGGTAGGATCAGTTCGAACAGATTCAGCAGGTAAAATAGTGGAAACATGAGTAGTTCTTTCAGTATGTGGATGCTTTGGAATAGTAAGAGTGGCATCATGTATCTCTAAGTCATGTTCACATCTTCGAGCA